ACTGCGCCGACTGCAAACATAGCATCGACCATTCCGACTCGTTGGATCGTCAGCTCGCCAAGAGAATCTTGCGATGCGACCAAACTCTGCCGCATGCCACCGCAGATCTCGTCCCACTCACGCGCTTCGACGAGGCGCTCCTCGAGCAGGAAGTCTCCGCCATGCGCCAGATGCTCACCGACGCCAAGACGGACGGCGTCCGAGCTTCCGCACCGGCACACGACGCCCCCGCCGCCGCAGCGTCGACCTCCAACGAAGCTTCTGAGCAATTCATGCCGAAGACGGAGGATGAACAACGCACGCCGGTCAATTGGAAAGACGTGCCAACGAATCAGGCAGGCATCACAGCCGACCGCATCGTCGGACATCTCGATCTGCGCACCTTCGACAGGGCTTCATTCGACACCGACGACTTTCGATGCGAGTGGGCCCACGGCGAGCCCTTGCTGGTGCGCGATGTCACTGGGCCAATGCATCATCCGTGGGGGCCCGATGCGCTGCAGTCGCGCTACGGTCGCGATCACTGCCTCATTGTGCGCTCGGACGTCGAGATTGCCGAGCCCAAGCAGGTGTCCGTGGGCGACTTCTTTGCCACCTTTGGCCAGGACGATACTTCAAAGCAAGCGGCGCTCGGACGCGGCCATTGGAAGCTCAAGGACTGGCCGCCCTCCGCCGAGTTCAAGGCCGAGTTCCCCGAGCTCTACGATGACTTCAACAGGGTCGTGCCGGCGCCCGACTACACCACTCGCGAGGGAGTGTTGAACCTAGGCAGCTGCTATCCCACTGGCGTCATCCAGCCGGATCTCGGGCCCAAAATGTACAACGCCTGGCCGGGCAGCGAGGCGCCCGGCGGCAATGGCACCACCAGATTGCACATGGACATCGCGGATGCCGTCAACATCATGCTGCACGCTTCGCCGCCCACCGGCGATGACGTCCCGGAGGAGCACCGTCCGGGCGTGGCGGCGTGGGATATCTTCCGCGCACAAGACGCCGACAAGCTGCGTGCATTTTTGCGCAAAGAGTACTCGCACATCGACTTCCGGGACGACCCCATACACATCCAGCGCTTCTTCATCGATGCGAAGCAGCGCGTCAAGCTCTACCAAGAGTACGGCGTGAGGAGCTGGAGGATCTACCAGAAGGCGGGCGAGGCGGTGTTCATCCCCGCCGGATGCGCGCACCAGGTGTGCAATCTGGCCGACTGCATCAAGGTCGCAGTCGACTTTGTCAGTCCGCAGAACGTCGATCGATGCTTCAAGCTCACGGCCGAGTTCAGAGAGCTTGTGCAGGACTATAAAAAGGCATGGAAGGAGGACGTGCTCTCGCTCAGGACCACGCTGTGGTACGCCTGGTGCACCTACAGGCAGATGGACGGCCAAGGCCCCAACGTGTGGGCCAAACAGAGGCGAGAGGTCAAGAAAGAGGGCGATTCCCAAATGCATAGGATCACTCGCAGGGTGCTGCAGGCCCAGTAACCGGACTCTATCCTAGTTCACAGCATGTCACCGCTTTTCAAATGTTCATTGGTGCATGTGCTGCAAAGGTGGTGGCGCGGCAGTGCCACTGATCGGGGTGAGGCAGGGGACCGATGAAGCCGATGCTGAGTTGAGTGCAAGGCTTCCATGACGTGCGATCGCGCCAGGATTGGGCCGGTGCGGGCTGGCCTGAGCGTCGGAAGGCAATTGGGCACTTTGGGGGGGGGGGGGGGG